CGGCAACCTTGTCCTACTCTCACCCTGGAGATGGTAAGAATCAGACATGGCGTCCATAGCCCAGGAGGCTGTGATGGAATATTCAAGGCTACACATATTAAAGACGACGCCATATCAGGAGGGAGAAAGAATTTCAAAGAATGGGGAGATAAAGAGAACACACGTGGCTTCCTTTTTTTCCTAAGCGCTTGTCTGTCACTGCCCTGGATCCTCGCTAACCCCTGTGATAGCTAGGAATAATGTAGGAAGTCCTAGGGAGGTTACTCTGTTGTTTTTAAAGCGTTTAATCCCCATAGGATGCTTTTTTTTTTTTTTTTTTTTTTTTTATGATGAAAATTATGCATTATTTTATGATCTCTGCTGCCCGTTTGGATTTTGTTTGTTTATGAATGAAGGAACTTTTAAGCTTCGGGGCATTTTCTTTAGTAAGATTTATTGGGGCTTTCTAAATTGTCCCGAACTCTGACTGATGCTCGTGTAGTGAAAAAAATAAACATCCATATTCAGAACTGCTTTCATAACGCTGTAAAGCAGAATTCGACACACACAAACACACACACACACACACACACACACACACACACACACACACACACACACACACACACACACACACACACACACACACACACTCAAACACACAAACAGGTGTATGTACCTTGTGCCTTTATACCATTCAGGTATATATGTTTATTCATATATGTTTTGGTTGCTTGTGAGCGTATTTACATCTACTCGTGTATGTTTGCATGAGATAATATGTGCATGTTACGACACCATGTTACTTACCTTCACATCATCATGACTAAAAAGAACCTAATTGAAATCTGTCAAAAATGTGCACGTCTTGTAAAAATGTATTATCTCAATGTTCCGCAATGCTAGTATAATTTACATGCAAATGAAGCTAGTGTCTCATACCCCCGCAGAGGCAAGGACCTTAAGTGAATTGGATGCAAGAACAAACACCAAACGCCTCCCCTTAGGAAAAGAGGCAACCTTTTCCCTTCCCTTATTGATGAAGGACCCTTCGCTGATGCAAGCTTCATCAATGGAATCAGGTTTCCTATATAAAAAAAGAGAGAGAGAGAGACAGAGACTGAAAGAGAGAGAGAGACAGACAAACAGATAGAGAAAGAGAGAGAGAGAGAGAGAGAGAGAGAGAGAGAGAGAG